GTAGGATAAGGAAATTCGGCCGGGTGTTGCACAATTAGGCCAGGCATATAATTATGATGGTACTTGAAGTTGAAGCACCTGGAGGAGCAGGTGTAATACCCAATATAATGGTAAACGGGTTTTGCCAGAGAAGGGAGTCGGCTGTTCAGCCATGACTTACATGTACATGTACATGTAAGTCATGGCTGAACAGCTGTGTTGTGAGTATCTAATGTACAATGTACTTTGAACAAAGTTGCAGTGGATGTTCTATTCCAGTAATCCCTCCAAGACTTCATCTGAAATCACAAAACCTTTATTAGGCGTGCAATTATCCCCGAGCAGGAGAGGTGAACTAGGAACAGGAAAGACGCTGCTTTCGAAGGATTGGACCCAACATGAGTGAGATGCGTGACTACATAATGATCAAGCAAACAGACCAACAATTGAACAACGGATGATGTTGATACCGCATATGGAGTGCAATGGTGAATTTGAAAACTACCCTCATATGTAGAGGAGAATGAAGGGAGAATGTTGGTGTGGATAGGCCAGCGTGGAGAGATGCACGGTGTGTTTGTGATTTCGTTGGCTTGCAAACCATGACTCATGAGATATCATTATTGCCGGGAGAAATTTGGCAAGACAACAGTCAATGTAATGTACCCATTTTGCTTTGGAAAAAGGAACCATGTAACGTACACGTACGCGTACGTGCAGGACAGATAAGCATTCTCAAACAGTACATGTATCTGTCCCACGTTGCGATACCAGTGACAGACCTTCCCCCACGCATTGGAGCTAGCACTAGCCCACAGACCTACACATACACTGTACATGTATCTACAAGACAGTACTCACTTTCTTTCTTGTTTGTTTATCGTTAGTTCAGGTTTCCTTTGTTTTACCCCGATCATGAGCCATGCACGAAAGGTCTGGAGAGTCAGAAGTGATGCGTGCAGCATGGAGCAGAAGGATCTGATGGTCTGTGTGAGTGTTCTGGGACTGAGTAGAGTGATGTGTAAATTGCTGAAATCATGTGGAGGCTGCAAATCAAGAAACGTTTAGTAAATTACCCTACAAGTAGACTTCATGAGAATCGTCACTACAGCTGTAGTCAAGTTTTGTTCACGAACGGGCAGCGCCAATATACTGCAAATTGCAAAAAAATACCACAAAAGACTTGTGTACGCGGATGCAGAGCCAAGGATTAACTTATACAAAAGAAAAAGGACCAAGGAACTACAAGTTACGCTATAATGTCCACTAACATCACCAGTACTGACGTTCTACAACTAACTGGCTAACAGCTCCAATAGCACATCTAGGATGGGCACTCCAACAGCCTTCCAACTTGGAAGGTTCTAAGATATAGAAGTAACATAAGGAGGGGAAGGTGCTAGAACGTCAGTACCGTCGGTCAGTGTCGTGCAATGTTATCGCATGAGCTGATTGTTTAGTAACTGGTGGTGTTAGTGGACATTATAGCGTAACTTGTAGTTCCTTGGTCCTTTTTCTTTTGTATAAAGACTTACACTTATGTAGTTTAATTATATCATCAACGACACGATGAGACAGGATCATGATAACGTGAGTATGGGTAGTAGTGAGGGGACGTAGACTCACCTCCGGCTTCGCAAGGTCCCATGTTGGGCTCTCCACATGCCTCAGGAGTCTGAGTGAGGCAGAGCTGGGACACTGCATTTATCGATCTGGAATTAGAAACACGCGGATCCGATTAGTAAACTGGCTATGCGCTGGACCCATTACTAGCAATCTGCAAGTAATAATTAGTTAGTTTACTGCAAGCTCAGTATACTAGTATCCAAGTCACTTACGATGATGAGGACATGGGCAGACTGCGGTTGATGTTTCACAGCATGCAACCATAGCAACCATGGCTGATCATGCTCAGTATCTATCGTGTAGATACGTTTCCAATTTTTAATTGGACAAATGTCCCATGCTCTAATTAGGATCAGCTCAGTTGTCCCACTGGCCCACTGTGTGGAATCAGCTCCCACCTACCCTTCTGCAGTCTCTCCCTTCTCGCAGAGGTACGCACACCTTCAAGAAAAATGTCAACGACCACTTGCGGCGCAGCAAGTGGAAGTGGGCCACAGACAGGCTATGTTCTCTCCATCGCAGCCAACACACCAGCCTGACCGCACTCCAGCTCCCTTCCACCCCTCTTTGATCCCCTTCGCTCAGCCTTAATATGCGATTATCAGTTCTCTCCATCTTCCTATGGTGCACTGCTTTTACTATTGTTATGTCCTATCTTAATCTCAAACTCTCCCCATTATCGTGTGCAAAGCCGGTGCCTCCCTCTTGGATACACATGTTTCTTTTCCCCTACATGTATGTATCGGCGCACAGGAGTAATGATGATTCCGAGACCTTTGGTCGGAGGAGTTACTTTTGCCCCGCCGCCACTTGATTGATTGATTGATGATTGATTGATTTTATTTTACTTCGCAAGTTCAAACGGGTTCCTGGCCCAGTTATATGAAAGCGAAGGATAGAATTTGCCAAAATCCTAATGAGCAACAGCATAGGCAATATTATCATAAAAGTGGAGTACTATGCGAGCGAGAATACTGAGAAGAAAGGAACATGTCAAAACCTGACGAAACACAACCTATTTCAGGCATACATAAGGAAGGCAGGCTAGCTTAAAACCTTGCAATCTGGATACGGTGCGCACCTCTCTAGGCAAACTGTTCCACAGCAATGCTCCTGCGGTGGCGAATCTCGTTTGGCCACACCGACTGCGAGCTGGCTGGCTGAGCAGACCATTGGCATGCTGATGGCGCGCACTTCCATCCAATATGCCACCGCCTCCGCTGTGTAGCATCTGATCGTTCTGTGGTATTCAGTAAAAAAAACCCTTTGACCTGCAGTTGCAGTGGAGCCTCAAAATCCTGTTACCGATATTGAAGCCGAACTAGTCCAGTCCTACGGTAGGTATTGCGGCTGTGATGCATGGCCCAGAAATGGCATTAAATTTTAATAATACCGTTTTAGTACTGGTAGCTCACAGCAAGATACAGTACAGTACTCTTGCTCACACCAAGAGTACATACTATTAAAGCCCCCTTATTTACTCTTGCTGACACTCACATCAGTTGCGCTAGGTAGATATTATTATGAAATGACCCAAAGGCAATGTGCCTATCGAGGGGTTCATTTGATTGAAAGAACAGTAGATGTAGATGTATGTACAAAGACAAGTAGGGATTGATGAGGAGAGAAATGGGGAAAATCAACTGCAAGGTGGCGGAATTCCGTTGATTGCATAAGCATGGTCAGCTGTAAATTTCCCGAGGGCAGCTTTGAACTTATAGAGCGAGGCTTCCGATGTTAGACTGGGGGTAAACAGTTCCATAGAAAAGCAGTTCGGAACATGAAGAGAGACTTAGACAATGATTTAAATTTGGGAAGAATGATTTTATTTGGTCGTCGCTCACTATTCGTAATCTTGAAATGCAAATCAGCAAGGTAATCACGACGATGGAAAACATATCTGTGAAAAGTAGTGAGACTGATGATTTGACGTGAAATCCGACCGAATAAAAAGTGAGAATCTGGCGGCGTCCTGGCCTGGATCATGTACCATGATGCACCATGATTGCAAGAGCACATAACATCAACGGTTCTGGTTATCCATGTACATGATTGTGAGGCTTGTAATCGAGTCCACAAAGGACGAAACAGTTCTGTCCGCAGATCGAGTCTTTCGCTCCTGCTCTTGTAAGTTGTAGTACAGGTTCCAATGATATACAATGAAATCCTAATAATTATAAATATAGAAAGGAAAAGGACATATGGATACGAGTTAAGAGTAACTCTCCATCACTGTAACCAGATACTATAATTATACAGTCAGAAAGTGCAACAACTAGGCACAAAACTGACAGAGTACTGAGACATTCGACATCCTGACACCTAGCTTCAACACATCTCCGTAGCGCTAACCAACAGCCTTCCAACTCGGAAGGTTCAAGGACCAAGGTTATGGAAAGACCAAAGAGGGGAAGGTTCCTTTCTACATTTATTATTGGCTCAACATCCGAGTTTTTTTATAATAATCATAATCTTTATTTCAGGATTGTACTCGCAGTCTCGCACTCTTGATGTGATTTTTTATTACTTGGGCATTCCCCACAGACCCTAAGTAAGGTCTTCTTACTTTGATGATTGTGATTGGTTTACTTTCGCACGGGACTCTCGCAATGGCATAGTACTTCCCAGGGCTTTGTCAACTATGTTTACCAAATCTCCTATCTTTTCTGCATATTCGTATTGGCTCAAGCTGCCCATGGAAATGAAGACAATATCAAATATTAGACAGTTCATAGACCATGTTAAATGTCATGCCAAGTTGTAGGCTCACTCGCCTCTTTTGCTAGCTTATCTTGCCACTCTCCACTATGGTCAACATAGTGATAAATTTCACCCTGCTGATGCGTTCTTTTCTTCCGATTCTTATGTTCTTTCCTTCTTTCTTTCTTTTTCCTTCTCTTGCCATGGCTGGCTAACGCCCCCTCCTTTGCATGGGCTTCTGCCATGCATTGGACGGTGAAATAAAATAAAATAAAATAATAAATCTGGCTGGAAATCCCGTACCTCTAGCTCTACCGACTTCTACCGCTTCTACCAATTTTTTCCTGGTACGAGAGACTCGTACAGCTGTAGAGGAAAGTAGAATCTACCCTTTTGAGTAGAAAAAACGAACACCTCTACCGAAAGAAGTAGTTTCTACCAAACCCACAGTGTGGATCAAAACGAACGCCCCCTTTTTTTGGCCTTGGCGTCAAATTTGGCGTAAAACTCCAAAATAATAAATAATTTGCTGGATGCATTGTTTCTCAAAAATAAAAAATAATGCACGTGGCCGTGGAGTTCTGAGCTGAGTTGTGTTGTGTGTTTTACGGAAAGTACTTGAATTTCTCGTTGCTATCAGTACTGCTACTTCTGTCTGTTTCTTTGAAAGGCCATTGACCCTCCTGTCCATAGAAATGGCTTGTCGCACCTCACCTGCCCAATCCGGCAAAAGTGACATCGACTCAGGATTGGCAAGCAGCAAGATTTGTCAAGCTTGTCATTTAGAGGCCGATTCTCTGAAAATACTAAACTGTCTACACGTCATGTGCCTACCTTGCCTCAAGGAACACATTGGCAAAGATGGGACAGTGTCCTGCTTCAAATGCCTGACAGTTGGTGGCTCAACTCTTCCAGGCGCACGACTAGAGGATTCGCTGATAGACTGGCCAACACCTGAACGACTGAAGGACGATGTTGAAGTACAATCGAAGGCCCAAGAATCAAGCGCACAGCCCAGGTGCCAAAATCCGGACTGCAGTGAAGCCTTCGAGCCAGCAGTGTCCTTGTGTGTGGACTGTGGACTGCACATGTGCGTCGACCATGAAAGAATTCATGCCAAACGCAAGGGAATTGCGTTCGGACACCGTGTGATGCCTGTTGCCGAAATACGGTCAGTGGACAAGCAGCTCCAGATCAGGGACAAAGAATTCAAGAAGTGCTTTCTGCACCCAGGGAGGTCCATGACATCATACTGTACTCAGTGTAAAGTGCTGATATGCAAGCAATGCAGTGAGCGGTTCCACATCAAATGCTCCAAGGATGTGGAGGAAGTTCAGGTGATTGCGGAGAGAAAGCGAAAGGAATGGAAGACGCATCTGACAAATTATAGTGAAGCATGTAAAGAGCAGCTCCAGAGCACTCGTACAAGCATCAAGGCACGCACAAACTCTATCAATGATGAAGTGGAGGCCCTGTCAGAGAAGATAACTGCTGACTTCCAGGAGCATATCAAGAACATACAGCAAAGACAACAAACAGTATTAGCTGATCTAGATGCTGCACGCTGGAAAGCGCTAAAGCGGCTAGAAGAGAAATCTGAGATGGTGGAGATGAAGAGCTATCAGCTGAATAGCTGCGAGTATCTGGTTCATAACCTTGGTATGAGCAGTCTGCTTGCCGCGGAGAAATTCCTGCACCTAGTTATCGAATACGTTGGCAATACAGCCAACAGCTCGTCTAAATATTCAACCACTCGACCAGAAACAGCCCATCCTCTACCTGTAGCTTACTCTAAGTTCGCCAGTGATGAAAGGTGGCACGTTTCAGAACTTGGTGAATTGGCCAATGTTAGCAGCTCGCCATCCATAGGTGATACCGCATCGGACGACGCCACCCTCGTTGTACCAGCATTTGATGTGGCCTCTTGTGAAGCTGCTGGACTAGATGTTTCAGAGCAGGGTCGTGAGTTGAGCTGTCCCACAAAGGCCTGGGTCGCAGTTGCGTCACAGGGAAGTTATAGTCATGGCATTCTGCAATGTTCCGTTCTCGTCGTTAATGGAGGCCGCGGTCTTTTCCTTGGTGTTGCAGTGGAAAGTGGTGGCAAGATCAGCGAGTGTTCCGTGGAGAAGCCGTTCTTGGGCTGGCACTGCAGGGCTGACAACAGCGAGTTTTGCGTTGGCAGTTCCAATAAGCTGGGTCAACCTTGGCTACGCGATGACGTCATAGTGCTGCGTCTGGACTGTGATCGGCATACGCTGACTGGTGTGAATGAGAGAACTGGGTACAGTGAAACCATCGCTGTTCCCGCTCGCAGACTGTGTTTCGCTGCTGAGATATCTACTCGCTCCACGATCCACTTTATCAGTGATGGTGTGTACTAGGCTAGTAGGCTACAAGAAACCAGTGCACAGTTAGCCTTGAACGCCAACCAATTACACTGGTCACACGAGTTGAGTTGAATTTGTATCAGACACTCTTCTTTTTTGTTTTTCTTCTTTTGAAACGAGCCCCATTGCAAGGCTTCTGTGTTTATATTCTTTTGAAACGAGCCCCAAGGCTTCTTCGTTTTCATTCCCACCAGCGCCTGTCTTTTCCATCTGCGGAGCACGACAGTTTGGTGCCCGGGCAAATTAACTCATTGCTTCACAAGCCATTCCTGTGAATGTTGTCTGGTGGCGTTGGCAAGAGGGCCTACGAGGGGCCTCGTACTCTCCTCTCCAAGACTGCGCCTCGTACTCTCCTCTCCAAGACTGCGGATGCTGAGTCTTTGGCAACAAACATTTGACCATGGGTCTGGGTGCACGGGCACCAACACTGTGGTGACAGCTATGCCCTCGGTTTTTACTGAATGTCACACACAAGAAAGCTGGCTGGTTGCTCTTATATCTTTACATTTGCTGACACTGGGCAGAGCAACTAAAACTGAAGTTTCTTGATCTCTATGTTCTGAAAAAGGGTAAGCTGATTTGGAGTGTGCGTGCATACGGCTAGGCTAGAGGTCGCGCATGCCTGATATGCGCGTGTGCTGTGCTGCGCATGCCTGCAGTCAGTCAGCATATGGACTAGAAAAGGCAAGGTCAGAAAAATAGGCTCTAGCAGTAAAATTTATGTCAGAATTATAATTACGGAAAAAGTGCGATAGGGTAAAAAATGATCACGAATGATAATTCGTGACAAACGCCATCAAGCCATGTTGGACCACTAAAGACTTGCAGCAATACTGTCTTGTTTCAAATCTTTATTCTCACGATAGCCAGTGGCCAATAAGAGATATTGTTGTTGTTGTTGTTGTTGTTGATGTTGTTGTTCCTGTTGTTGTTGTTGTTGTTTTTTGAATTCTTTATTCTCACTTGTTGTTGTTGTTGTTGTTGTTGTTGTTGTTGTTGTATCGGCTACGACTAGGAGTCGGACACTCATACATGTATACTCTAATTTCAGAAATTTTCGGTGCTCAATATTTTCGGTATGAGGGCAAAAGGCCAGGTTAGGTGAACAGAAAATTTAGGTACAGCGAATAGCCCTTTTCCAAAGGTGCTCGCCCTTTTTCGCCCTTTTTGGAAAAGCCCGTTTCTTTCGCCCTTTATTGCGTTTTTGGTGATTATCGCCCTTTTTGAGCTTTTTTAGCTGAAAAAAGTGCTAAAATCTGTTTGCTCATGCATGCGATCACAGTTTCCGAGTGCTCGATGGGCCTTGGCACGCCGCTTTTTTGGGGGGGGCAACAAGTGTTAGTTGGTGAAGCTTGTACACGATGCTGTAAAAATGTTTTTTTACTAACTTCCTGTTTGCCTTTCGTGGACCAATAAATGGAAGAGTGCGTATTCATTTCTCAACTTGGGTTCATATCTGTATGCTATGCTTCACTGAAAAGAGAGCACTTTTTCAGCATATTTTGAGGGACGCGAAAAGCACTAAGTGCGAATTAAAAGAGCACCTTTGGGAAAGGACTGGTGGGGGGGGGCAACAAGTTGGTGAAGCCCGGTGTACACTATGCTGTAAAAAGTGTTTTTTTTTAAACTTTACTTCCTGTTTTGCCTTTCGTGGACCCATAAATGGAAGAGTGCGTATTAATTTCTCAGCTTGGGTTCATATCTGAACATGTATCATGGGATATAAAATAAAAAAATTCGACGGGTTCGCGTACCGGGCAGGTCAAGAACAAGGAGTCGTACAACTCCCTGGTCAAGAACCACCTTTCCGCTTCCGTGGGACGCCACCACCCCATGATCAGGCGTCAGATGCGGCTCCTAAACGGTGGGGGAGGATAGATCAGATCCACCAACCATAGGCCAAAGGCCTAAATCCCATTTGCCACATCCATGATTTACTCATGCCAGGCCACGAGTTCCCAATTAACTGTGGCCTGTGGGTCGCAGCACGGTTGGAAAAATCCTTCCGCTTCCAAGCAGGACTTGAACCTGGTACCTCTCGTTCATTAATCATGGTCTTAGACCAACCCACTGTCATATGCTTCACTGAAAAAGAGCACTTTTTGCCTGTTTTCACTGAAAAAAGAGCACTTTTTCAGCATACTTTGAGGGACGTGAAAAGCACTAAGTGCGAATTAAAAGAGCACCTTTGGGAAAGGGCTACTAGCCAGCTTCATGCATGACACCGTTGTCGACCGGCAAATAAGCTTGTAATGCCAATTTTGCATGCAAAATGGTGTTATAATGCCAGCATTATGCCACCTGGAAAAAAGGGACTACATGTATAATGCCAGCCATAATGCTAGCATTACCCGCCCATGCCTACCTCCAATACACCACCTGATCTTGGCCCCGATCACTTCTTGACAACGAAGCCGGATGATTTACACTCCGGCTTAAAAACGGTTTGTTGTTCATAAGACTTCTGATCACGATCGGTTTGGCCAGTAACTCTGAGCTCCGCTGAGGAGACCGAACAAGGTCGAAACAGCTAGCAGTCCGGAGATTGAGTAGGCCCGGTGGTTTATGAGTCCATCTCAGTCCACCACGCATCGTCATCGTACAAGGGAATCCGTCATTATACCGTCATATAAGCGCTCCATGGCGATGAGATCCACCTCGTGCAGTGTGCCTACTCCCCCCCCCCCCCCTTCCGTTGTTTACATTTCAATCAGTATGGTTACAGACAGACCTTGCTTAATCGCACACATCCTTTTTCCACAAAAATAACCGGATAGGCCAGGGAATCTATAACCAGCTATTTTCTTCCGGATGGCGAGGGATCCGGATAAACGAGGTCTGACTGTACTACGGTACTTGATTCGTCTTGGGGCCGGGGTGAGACATGGGAAAGATACCATACCGGGGTGTGAGCCCGCCCCTCGGCACGGGGAGTTCAGCTCACGCATTTCACGAATCCTGCCTATTGGTGGCAAGGGATAGTGGTGACCTGTGTTCCAATCACTTCATCTCAACAGCGCTTCGGAGTGCCATATTTTTCTGATCCAAAAGTCTGATAGTTTGGTGGATACAAGACCAGGATTTTACACTCAATGTACATTTTATACCCAAGCCGGGCCTGCCGACGGGGCCAGGGCTGGGGTTGTTAGGAGCCTTAGAATCTTTGATGCACAAATTGCAGCACAATGTATGGCATATTGCATCCAAACCCTGCATAGTACATAATGTCTAAAACAGTCGACCAATGACAGATCAAACTGCGCAGGCTGGAAAACGGAACAATGATCCCGCCTGCTCAAAGGTGATTGAACTAGATCCACTGCCCGTCGTCAAGTGACGACGGGCAGGATTGGACTCCACTGCCTGTCCTCAGTTGATGATGAGCAGGAGCGGAATCCACTGCCCACTTGACGACGGGCAGTAGCCACTGAACTGAGTCTTTGTTCATTGGTTACTTGCCGCGTGCTTCGTAGATCCAAGGCAACAGAAAGAGCGACTATAAAGTAGAAAACCAACAAGAGCTAACTAATAAACAACTTGAAGAAGAGCAACCGCTTGCAACCACAACTGTCATCATGGCGCTCCAAATTTTGATTTGATACTGGGAGAAAAGAAAACGCTTTGTCGGATGATACTGGCGATGTGAATGAGCTCCTCCAACAAGTTGAGGAAGAGACTGAAACTTGCATTGCGCGCCTGCGCTGCAAGTAAATTTTAAGCAGTGAAACATCAGAACTAAATTTTAGTTCTGATATTTCACTGCGCAGTCACCCGAAATTATGGCTAAACCCTTTGCGTTAATCTCGCTATTACTACAGCTATTGTCGGGCCAAGGCTAGGACAAGGCGACCCTGAGTAACATTTACTTACTGTAGGGTGTAGAGTCTAGCCTCTAGGTAGCAGGAGACCACCGAGCCCAACTTGATCAGTTTCGGGATGAGTCGCAAACATTCTGTTCATAGCAGTCGTCAATATCAATGTTCGTACGGTACTACCAGTCGTAGCGAGCGGACAAGAGCTCTCAGCACTGACAGCATTGGCTGGAGCAGTAAAGGATAATGCCTCGACTCCCCGTTGCGCCTGGCTAGTCCCAACGACTACGAGTACGAGGAACTACTGAGTAATCGATACTTCCATGTCCTTTTGTTGGCATGACAAAGTTGCTAACCAACAACATACAATGTCCATAGTCATTAACATAACGCCATCAAGACTAGTGCCAGTGTACTCACCCTCAGTACTACAGTAGTGTGTTAGTTGCACGTGCTGTACGCGCAACAAAAAGTCAAAAGCATTTTTGGGCGGCTAAGTAACTTAGTTAGTTCTGGTCTAAAGAGTAAAGTTCTTGGCTGTCCCGGCCTTCCAAAAAACAAGTGTTTTCAAGTCTTGGATCTGCCTGGATGGTTCACCTTTGTACCAAGGTCTTCTACTCCTTCAGCCTAGTTCAGGTGGCGAGTACGCAGTCTCTGATCTGATCAACCAGCACTCATCGATACGTGCAAGATTTCGCTGTTTTCCTTGTCGCGCGGACAACGCTTGGGTGGTGAGGGTGCTAATGCCTGTCACGGCGGTGATGTTGTATCAATGTTGTCTTGCCACTATAACGATTATTGAATTTTTAAACACTTTTCCCTCTTCTGTGGGTATGTGTTTTGTGTACAATGAGGAGACGGTTTCAAATAGGAGATATGTCGCAAACCGGAACGGACTCAATATTCACTTTCTCTCTTGGTATTTTGATTAGAAAACATATGTCACAGTGAGACTACGATGTGTTTTACTCCGAGCCAAAATTTCATGGCCCTGCGATGACCAGAAGCGCCAGACCAAGCAGATGAGTTTTTGACGTGTTGCTTCGCACTGCGACTTGAGTTTTACGTCTTTCGAAAAAATCAATTTCTTGTCCTGCGGCTCGCCTCTCGCCAATAAAGCACCTTATACCAATGAAAACTAATGGAAGCACACACAAGGCTTATTGTTACTCTGTATTGCCG